CCGACATGGTTGTTTTTGGTTATTGACTCTTTGGTTTATCGACTGTTTGGCAAGATGTGGAAAGAAAATGAGAAAAAAACCAGACTTGAAAAGGAAAATTCCAATCAAACCATCGAAATGAAAAAAGCGTGATTTTTTGCGTAATTTTTGCGTAGAGTTCCAAAAAGGTGCTCAAAAATTCCAAGCGAAGTGAATAGAAAATTCGGTACCTCTTGCTGGCTTTCTGCTCCTTTTGACGGATGCACCATAAAGTGTTTTAATAAGAGATATATATGTCCGTATACGCTGTGATGTATACTCTTGTCCAGTATAGTGGTCCAGTGGAATATTTATGTAACAACAATAGAAATCAGTAAAATGAACAGTACAGCGAATACGAAGAAGTGATAGCTATCTCGGGCGGAATAGGATCTTGAAGTGAAGTTATTGATTTCCGGGTGGCCTATTTATACCCCCCACTGAGCTCAAAAACCAAAGTCCATCATATCGGTCCCGCCAGGCCACCAGTGGCTCGAGATCTACTATTCCAAGATCGCGAATAGTCGCGATATTCCCAACCGCCTAGAGGATTCGCTTCGGAACACATGTTAGATGACACAACACGTATTAGCAACAAACAAATCATCATTTCACGCTGGATGAACAGGTCTATAGAGTTCCTCCAATTGCTCCTTCAGCTCCTTGATCCTCTTTTCGGCATCTCCTTTTGCACACAGGGCTTCAGCTTTTCTTTTGTTGATTTCTTCCGTCCTTTCTGGTAGGTCGCAAATGGCGCTATGGTGCCCGTGCCTTTTGCAGTGGTAACACCCCACGTTAATTTTCCGACAGTCATGGTGTGTGAGCTTTATTTCGAGACAGCAGGAACACCTGTGTTCTCTATCGAGTAGCAGTCTGCGCACTGAGCTTTCCTTGTAGACATCGCAAGAGTCGCTATAGTGTATTCCAACTCTGTCGCAGAAGACGCAGCGAATCGTTTTCTCGTCCCAGCGTCTTATGAGTCCTC